AAAAAAAAAAAAAAAAAAAAAAAAAAAAAAAAAAAAAAAAAAAAAAAAAAAAAAAAAAGAATATCGTAAGAAACTCACCCTTGGCTGTCAGTAAATCTAGAAAAGTATCGAGTGGAGAAAGTCGGTCTATAGAAGGGAAGGCCGCTAGACCTAAAAGTTACAGAAAATGTTATAACATAACTGAAAATATTCAACACTTGTAAAGTATATCGAAGGTTGAACATTACCACTGTGGTGAAGGTGATGCTGCGGTTGCCTATTTCGAGACTGGCTGAGTTCACCCGACAGGACATTGGCCGCGTGTTCTCGAGCTCTTAACATGAAACTTACTGGGTGCAGCCATTGATTGAGTAGACGCTTGGCTCGCGTTCTTGGAAGTTGCGACAGGAGCTCTAATTTACGGGAGACACTTTCTTTGGTATCTCCGATATCTTGTGAACACGAAAGTACAAGATGTACATCAAAATATTAGTACCGAGACATACATGCAGGGAGACGAGCAAGTACCAACCAGCTATGATGACTTTGGCAACATCAACTTGCAACTCGAAAACCGAGTGTCGCGTGTACTGCAAGAACATTGGGTACTTGAGCGTGCGGTATCCCAAGTAAGTGAAGAAAGACATGAAGCCTTGCGGGACGGGGAATGCAATACTTTCTGCTGCATAACGATACCTCTCCAACAAAGTGAACAGTAGCCATCGCCTCGAGTCCTCCAACTGATCTCTACAGAGACAAGATAATGATGTTAAAAAGTATTTTGCATCGGGCCATTGGTTTATTGTTACACAAGCGAACTGAAATATTACGTATAAAATGCACTTGTATAATTAATGAGTCAATTACATGAGACAGAATCCGCGCTCCGCTTCGACGCGAGCGTGAACGTTGGCCGCTTTGCACAGCATCTGGCACAGTAGCCTCGAGGTCTCGAGCTGTGCGGCCACGTGTCTCGTGGACATGGCGTGAACGTGCAGTGGCATGCAGCTCGCCGACCTCGACCGTCCGAGTCCATTTGGCGTGCCGTACTTGAGCAAGTGGACCGATATCTCGCGCAAGTTCACCGCTACAATGTGCTCCTGCTTCGAGGCCGTGCAGGTTTCCATTTCCAAGAAGGGAAGCGCCGAGGCACATCTATTGCCCATTAGCTCGCCCAGATTCACCGAGGTCACGGCAAACCTTGTTAGAACAATTCATCGACATATACTTTTTTTATCATGTACGTTTATCACTACATTTACATTTTCTCGCTGGAACCGCTTGGAGAAAATCGGATATCAAATGTACGTATGCTTTTGTTAGCAAAGCTCTGCTCCGAGCGACTCAGCGGTGACTTTAAAAATAAATAAATAATTAAAAATACACGTTACCCGCCACTTGGGGACATGGGCGTGCTGCACCGGGACAGCGCCTCGGGCTGGTAGCAAGCGAGCGAGACAGCCAATTTCTCGGCAACGTGGCTAGGTTTAAAGCGCGGCAGCTCGTCGCTCCGCTTGCTCAGCAGGTCCCACAGCTTGGTCCACAAATCGCTCCTGTAGGGCACCAGCCTCTGTCCAGGTGACAGCAGCATGACCGAGGTGTTCCAGAGCTTTTCGTGGCTGAGCGTCGCGCTGAGCTCGTTGATTTTCGCCTCGAAGCCGGAAGAGCACTCGTCCAGCGTCGTGATCGGCGTAAGCGCCAGCAGGGGCCTCGCGTCCGGCAATAAATTCTTCTGCACGAGCGCGTGCGAGCCACCGACCAGGAACTCTTGCATCACCTTGACAACGTCGCGGGAACGGGGCTTCTCGGCGATCGTGGCGATGAGCTCGCTCAGGGCTTCTGGATCGCGTTTGTGGCACATGAAGTAGTGCATAATCCCCAACCGGACCTCCGTGGCGCTTTTTTCCCGTTTGAAGACGTCGATGAGAAAACTCGTGGGTAGCGTCAAGTAGACCAGATCAAGCGTCGGCAGATCTATCGTGAGGATGTTGGTGGCACCGCCACCGTTACTCCTTTCGACACCCATGGCGTGCTGTTTTCTTCTGACGCCGTTGTTGTTGCTGTAGTTGGCATCGTCGTCTTCGTCGTGAGCACTGTCATTGTTTTCGTCGTGGGCATGATTGTTGTCATTGGCCCGTTTTTTCAAAGTTTTTAGATTCAAGAGGGGCACGAGGTACGACGTGTGGGAAGGAACGTTTGTCAATGGGCCACTAAGAATGTGACAGCAGGGCTGATGATGTAGTCCTATTTCGAGTAAATGCGTGAAAAAGCCTTGGACAAATACAACCATGTGATTTTCGCCGTAGAGCGTGAACGTCGGCCTCATCAGTTTGGCGCGAGACCAGGGTATTCCAGGTACCATACACTGTATCACGCAGCTGTGATGAAGCAGGGTCACGGAGTAGGCAAAATGCACCGTGTTTGAATCACTGAGTGCCGAGTTCAGTATGTGCTGGGGTGGTTGTACTGGTCTGTACAAATAGTGGTGGCACACGCAAACGGTGCCCTTATGATCCGATATAACTAAAAGATCCAACGAACAGTCGTGGATTCTCAACGGTATGACGTCATCTTCGTAGGTCCCACAGTTATCGGAATTTGGAGTTTGAGGTAAATTCAATGGAATGTTCAGCTGAAAATAAAGCATTGGCACTGAGCGAAAATTTGACGATTAGTAAATATTTTCGTTAATACTTACAACTGTTTCATGAGGAAGGTCATCGTGAAATTGTAAACCACTAAGAGTTGGAGTGGTGCACGGTGGCTTGTGCTCTTGCTCAGCAGTAGCGTCTTCCGAGAATACGCTAGTTGCTGCTTTTTTATGGTGTATATGATAAAGCACTTGATTCGTCGCATCCCACTGGGCCCATATAAAAGTTTCAACTAATATTTCACTTCTCAAGTCCGCAATGGTGCCCACTTTTTCTGGATTGTCCACATCGAATGAAACCGTACACATCTGAATATCTGAAAAATAATTTTTAGAACTATCAGAAAAACATTGTTGTGATCAATTATAAAGACTGGCACATGTTTTTCTTCACGTACATTCTTGATGAACTAAAACTAAAATTTTATCCAACAGCTTTGAAGGTTTCTCCTTGTATAAAAACTGGATTCTTATTTGTTTCAATTTATCCTTTTGCAAGTTGTGCATTTTTCCTTCTGCAGTCTTAAATTCAATGATATAAGCTTGATAATACTCAAGCTCTGTGTTTGAATTATGCTCAATGTGGTTTTCTTCATCAACATGTTGAGATTTTTCTACAACTATTTCTTGTGCATGAACATCTAATTTTTGTTTTATCACAAATCCTAGGAGCGTGTTGGACTGATTGACAGTCGCTTGGATGAGATTAATTACTTTTGAAAACCTATGTAAAACCTGGAAAAAGAGGGGAAAAATATTATGTGGGTACCTGATGAAAAATAAACGCTCTGTAGTTCATTTGAAAAGCTCACAGACAACAGCTCACCTGTAATTGATCACCAACTCTGTCATAGCGACCTACAACTGAATAATAACTGTTATCCTCCTGTGGAGACACATTTTCCACCCATCCGAGCAACAAAGCTCCGTCTTTCTCTTGACCAAGGAGTTTCCACTGCTCAGCTGATGACAAATAAAATTGTTTGTTCAACTTATCTCTTCAAATTTTTTTCACGCATCCTACACCCGATAATAATACGAAAAAAAGAAAATAACGATTCGCCGCAAGTATTTATTTTTCTTTTGTTTAAAATATAAAAAATAAAAAAAAACGTGTAGCGAATTGAAAAAGCCATGAAAGGCCATGGCATCGAACAAATAATCAATGTAAGATGGTTCATCAGCAACAACCACTTGATCGCTCAAAAACAGAGTAAAAAAAAAAATGTAAAGTTCACCTTGAGTGGCTCGGTCTCCGAGCTGTAGGCACAAGTTGGCCGCAAGATTTCCCTCCATGGTGCGTAAGTCAAAAGTATAACTAAGCTTCCATACCTACTTGAAGCGTCAAGCTCGTCAAGCCCAAAACATGCATGGGCCAAAAGCCCATAGGTATAAAAAGGGGGTGCGTGCAGCGGTGCGGGTAGCGCAGTAGCACGTCCACCAGCGCGGACTACGGATGGAACACGACTGCAGTCAGATGACAAACAGAAACAGGGCGCGTGCGTAAAGTTATTTCTGATTACATCATTATTAACTTTAAACTTTATCAAAGTACCACGCGTCGGGAGAAGTAAAAAGCAGAGTTGAATAAAAACTACGAATTTTATATTATTAACAAGGTGGGTTTTTTTTTTTTTTTTATGGTTTAATTTCAATTGCTGATGGAGACATATATAGATTATACTTACTTTAAACCTTTTGTAATATGCATTTTCGATGCGGTGGTCAAAAAGCTTATTACCCTCTGAGGCATATAATATATATATCTTACATCTGCACAACCCTATTCCCATTTGGTGTGTCGATTCTCGACCCTATGCGAATTATCGCGTTATCGCGCCAAACTTTTGTCTCAATGTAATTTACCAGTGATTACAAGACTTGTTGTTAACAGCACGTAACGGTTCAACCGCGATAGGAAAACATAAATTCTGGAAAATCGCAAGCCTTTTCAACTTATCGGCTGATATAAGTTATGAATGGTAAGATGCCTGAAGCAAATAAACAATCAAAACAACAGTAGTGCGGCTATACTGTTGCTCGATGCCAGCACGCCTGGAGAATATTATAACAATAAAACCTATACGTACGAAATTGATAACGCCTTTTGCGAAAAATGCAATATTTTTACGTGTTTGATGGGTTTTTTTTTGTTGGGCCTAATTTTGTGACCATTTTCAGGAAGCGTCTGTTAATTTAAACGAATTTTTTAAAAATTATAACAAGTGACAATTTATAACATCGCGCGTTAACAAAACCGTGATTCCAAAGTTTCAAATGATATTCAACACAGCTATTAGACTAATATTAACTTATGCAGATGAAGAACATGTTGTGTGTTTATCTATAGTTGTTTGCTGGATTCGTGGGTCTATTCGGAAAAAAAATTTTTTTTTCCAACATCTTAAACATAATTGTCGTTTTCTCAATACACGCGTTTCGAGATAAAAAAAAAAAAATAATGAAATTAATTGCGTCAGCGTATACGCTACTAATATTAGGTAAACAACAATTATGTTTAAGATGTTGGAAAAAAAAATTTTTTTTCCGAATAGACCCACGAATCCAGCAAACAACTATAGATAAACACACAACATGTTCTTCATCTGCATAAGTTAATATATACTTATTTTCTATTAATTTTTTTAGTGAACACGATTATATCTGCAACCCTTTCAGTTACTACTTATTCTAGATACTTATTATAGAACAGAAAAATTTTGATTTGGATATTTTTTGTTATACTGCAATGATTTATCATCTTAATAAGTTCTTAAGAAAAAGTCATTAGTCATTTTTGATAAGTAGATAGAGCAAAACATTTCAGAAAAAATTAACTCTAATGTATTAATAAACAATAAAAGTATATAAAAGGCATATTTGGTGTACTTACTTACGTACATACATACGCGTGCTTACGATTTTATTAATAATGCGCGTTAGTCGGTCAGGTAAAAACCTGTGTTTACCACCTACATATACATGTACACATATTGAATATATAGATTATGGATTTTTCGCGCCATATCTTCGCGAATCCGCGGCTCACTGGGCTCTCTGCGATTCGCCATGCAGTCCCTGAAGCTCGCGTTCGTGTAACGTATAATCGGTATAAGTAATAAATACTGCAGTGTGCCTATATATACACAAACACCCATCCGTGCCGCCTCCTCAGTCTTTGTTTCTTATGAGGATTAACCTTATCGGGCATCCAGAATCCAGGCTCCTTCGTTGGTGAGCTCTGTGTGTGTTGCTACTGTCACAAGATAAAGTAATAAGTATGTGCTGCATCTCTTGAGATATATTTAAGTAGTTGAGAGTTGAGATGCATATGAAAGTGTATTTCGATAGTGTCTTCCTTTTTTACGCCAATTCAAAGATTCCAACGTCTTCACGACCATTACGACGTACGTAATAATACTTTTTAATATTGGTTACAAAATCTCTCATACGAGCTCCCTACGCAAAGACATACTTACATACTTCAGTATTCTCTACGCTCTTGCATGAATGAAGGAGTTATTCTTGATACAAAAATAACTTCAACAAATTACAGCTCAAATCCCTCTTTCCATCATCCAATAAATATAGTAAGTAAATATCAATTGCAAAGTACTTACTTATGGACCCTACATCCATCAAGTATCCTATTTGATGCTCTTTAATGTTCTTCTTGTCAAATATTTTACTTGGTTGAAATATAGTATTAGTACTCAATACTCATGCTTCATAAAAACATTTCAGTGCAGCAAAAGCAAACCCTCTATTTATGTGCCTTACCCTAAGGTCTCTTGGTCTCACCCCTCAATACCCTAAACCCTCTTACTCTTATAACTATATAAGAATATATACCTTCTCGTCCCTCCCTCAGCCGTCCTCCCTCTGCTCATACCCAGATGCTAATTTGTATACTCCCTTCGATACAAGTTTTCCTATCCTAGGTATCGTTACGTTTCTTATGAAGTTAAAATGGACAGTGGACTATGGCAATTAATGTTTCTAATAGTTAAGTTTGTGTGGAATAATAAGCAATAACAAAAACACTGGGAGCTCAAAATTTTTACTTAACCTCATAAATAATATTTTAAATTAGAAAGCAACAACGCGGAAGCACTTCAAGACCGCAACCGAGTTCCGAATCAAATTAGATACGTTGAGAGTAAGTATATGCCTATTGTCGAATAACTTTTTTTTTTTCTTTTTTTTTTTTTTTCTGTCTCCGGACTCAAAGACAACACTGATGGGCCTGTAATATATATCTTGATGCGTGTTATATCATACTGCGCTTGTATATCCTTGTACGAGTTGTACGGTTATATGTAAAGGTATACCTATATCTGACCTGTCAAACTCTATTTTTAGGCCATTGGCATTCGACTTTTCGACTATGCTCACTAAGACTTTTATTTGCATTTTTTCTTACCTAACAATCAACCACTCCTTTAGTTCGTGTACACTTCACTCTTACTTTTGTGCTTACTGACTTTTGGTGTACCCATGATATATATTGTGTCCTGCAGTAAATTTGAACATCACAAATTAATTTTTCAGATTTTGCGAAACTTATAGACTCTTCGTGAGGCCTTATTTATAGTATAGGCCAGGAATGGAAAAAAGAGAGGAGTCGTCCTTGCCAGCCTGCGTGGACGAGGATCCGAGAAGATCCAGCCTTTAAGGAGGAGTAGCTCGGCGTGCTCGTCGGCGGCGGGGCTCAGCTGGCAAACCGATACTTCAGCTGGTCTGCGTTCGCGTCGGGGATGTCGGAGCGCCTCTGTACACTCGTCGCACCGACCGCGCTCAGCCTCGCCGAGACGTTCGTCCTGCACTCAGCAGTACCTTGCAGTAAGATTATTGTTTTTCTTTAAACACCGTATTATTGTAAGCTTTATATGCATGTTTTTTTTTTTTTTTTTTACTCAACTCTTTTGCTTTTCCCTTTCTCTAATCTTTCCTTTTTTTCCGTTCCTCATTAAACTGGATAAAACAAATTATTACTCGGTAGTTTTTTTAATTTTTACGAATAATAAAATTCTTTTGATAAGAGTATGTAAAACAGTAATAGACTTATTTATGACGTAAGCTTGAAAATTATAAAATTTTACTTTCGATTTTCATTTTAAAAGTAATAAGATTGTTTTAATTTACAGCCTCGAGAGCAAGGAAGACTTCAACAGAATATGTCTTACAGCGATGGCGGTGGCAGTGGACGTTCCTCACGTAAAGGCAGTAGATCTCCCAAAAAGTTGCGTGTGACAAAGTCTGAGAATAGTGATAAAACTGTGACTAGTGTTAGTTACGGGCATCACCATCATCATCACCACCACCATCATCATCGCCCTGTTGAAGGCCAGCATCCCTCAGTGCACAAAAAAAATCTCTATATTGTATCACTTCCCTTGATACTTCTATTTAATGTTCTCCGAACAATTATTTACCAATTGTATGTGATTTTCAAGTACATTTATGCATCGACGTCACATTTAATGTTTAAAAGGCATTCAAGTAGAAACACATGTCAGCTGGAAATTATAGTTGATAGAAAAGCCGTTACTAACGATAAAAGTGACATCGAAGATATGTCACATAATACAAGAAGACCACCAGGGCCTGGCCCTGGAGATCCACTCTTAGCAAAACAAAAACATCACCATCGCAGAGCTTTTGAGTACATTAGCAAAGCTTTAAAAATCGATGAGGAAAATGAAGGTAGACTAAAATTTATTTTTCAAGAAATCCATATGAATGATTTTTTTATTATTATTATTTTTTTTGTTTTTTCATTGCTGATGATATTATTGTAGAGAAAAATATGAAAAATCTTATTAAATCTAATATTAAAAGTAAAATATTCGTTCTTAAGAGTAGCAGTTGAAATAAACGGTAACTGTAAAGTCGTTTCGACAAGGCCGTCAAGTGCGTACTCCATACTTGGAGTGTCTCCATTTATGGGTATTAACGAAGACTTGAGACCAAAAGCATGTAAAGAATTCTTTTCGTATGTGATTCCAGGGCACAAAGAAATGGCCATTGAACTTTACAAAAAGGGCATCGATGAGCTGGAAAAAGGAATCGCAATCGAGTGCAACGGAGGTCGAGGCGAAGTTTGGGAAAGAGCACAGAGGCTTAATGAAAAAATGAAGACCAACTTGGGGATGGCCAAAGATAGGCTTGATTTTCTTGGTAATGATCTTTGGGTAATTCAATTTATTGCTTGCTTACTAATATTGTACCAAAGAAAAAATATTCGAGACCTTTACTATAGGTTTTCTGCTCTGTAGTTGATAATAATGTCACAATTAATCACTAAAAAAAATATTTAAGAGCTATAGTACAGAAAATCCTATTTATTGTTCAGTCGCATGCTGTAATTGTATTCTTGCGTAGTAAAAGTATTGATCTCGAAAATAATAATGAGTAATCAATGTTCATGTTGTATTGCTGATTTTTTGATGTGCATGAAATGTGTTGTCTTCATATCAATTTTTAAAACTTCTTGATGTTGAGTATTTGAAATTTTTCCTCAATATTTTTTAATTTAATGACAACTTATTTTGTCGGACATTTCAGTATTGCATATTTGATACTAGTTGTGAAATATGTTGTAAATTATTTTAAATATTCATTAGGAAGAGTGCCTTTTTAACTCCGTGGCCATTGATAGAGCTTTTTATTCAAATAAAAATGAACCAGCTTATGAAATGTTACAAAAAGTTGCTGAATATTTTTGAAATCTTTGATAAACATGTTCTTTTGAAGTATCTTGGCCCCTGTGTATTGCGAGTATTTTTATTTTTAAAATTTGCGTGGCATGGCAGAATTTTTTTTTCCATTTTCGTTATAGCAAGGGTATGTGAGCTGAAAAATTTGGAAATTGATGAAGAGTCTACGGCAGCCGCGGCTGCCTCAAAGCAATGCGATACCAATTGTCAAGCACATCAGCAGGAAAATAAGAGCTTGAGGCATCGTCGTATAATGACAAATATCCAGGATCCGAAAAATTCACAAAACATGAATATAGTACAGAGTACGTATACGCAGATTTCCAGACCGAATGTGCAGTACTCGCGTACTGACAAGCTCAATATTGCGCGTGCGACCGAAGGTACTGTATATATTTTTTTTTTCTTTTTTTTTCAATCAATCCACATCCATTGTAATTATATTTTTGTATATTGTTTTGGTCTGAAGTTTTTTTTTTCTTGTTTAATGTTTTTAATTTTGTTTATCATTAAAGTTTATAATAAATGGCACTCTTTTATATTTGTCGAAACATAAAATTTATGTTAAATGTCGTAATGTAATTTTCATAAAAAGTGATCTCCACATGGATGATCGTAGTTAAAAGTATTCATAATTATAGTATTGATTAATTTACTGAGATGTATGTTTTGTTTTCGCCAAAGTAGTACATAATGTTCGCTCGTATGTGTGAAATTGTCAATAGGTTGAATTTTAATGTTTTTTTTTTTTTTTTTTTTTTTAATTAAAAGTATGTACAATTTATGTAATATGCATGTGATAGGTTTATGCAATATGCACTAAAAAACTGACATTGTGCATCAAACACAATGTAGCGATCCAATGTATTATATAAATCACACACGGCTGTAAAAACCAGGACAATTTAATAAAATACTCCATGATAAAAAAAAAGATTCGAAACTACTTGCGCGTTTTCGGCCAAGAAATGCAAACTAGCCAAACCAAAAATAAACGTTTGACTTGAGATATTAATTGACTAGGTATGCAAAAATCAGCGGGTAATGCTATCTTTCTGCCTCGACACAGACATCCAACTATCGCCACATAAAAAATTAAAGTATAACACTCCAGGCGTGAAATACTAGTTTTGGACCCACAAATGGGAGTATATAAATATTGTATAGGCGACATGCGTAGGAATGTAAGCGAGCGTGTAGAAACAACTTCATCGATCCCTAATCACACTTTTGCCTTTCTGATTTTAGCATCGGGACGCAAGTTCTCCGGCAATAGCATCGTTAGCAGCAAACGGCTTCCTGTGGTCAACAAGAGCCAGACGCTCCCGCGCAGCATGGGCCGCTCGCAGCCGGCGCTATCCTGTCACCGGCCCAACCTGGTGCCGCCAAAACCCATGCTGACGCCGCCCTCAGTGAAGAGACAGCTCTCCGTACCAGGTAGTGAATCGCCCCTACGCCGGCGACCCACAACACCAAGTGGCACAGGCAGTAATCGCGCGGCGCCGAGCCGTAGGCAACTACCTCCGCAGCTCAAAGGTATCGAGCCCAAGCTCGCCCAGCTCATCCTTGACGAAATACTCGAGGGTGGTCCACCCGTACTTTGGGACGATATCGCCGGCCAAGAGGTTTTGGTTTACGAAGCGTTTATTATCATTTTGTTGTTTTCACTTTTTATTAAAATTTTTAAATCACCTTGACAGACTGCCAAGCAAGCCCTTCAAGAAATGGTGATTTTACCGTCAATGCGTCCGGAGCTGTTCACGGGTCTACGAACACCAGCGCGGGGATTGTTGCTGTTTGGACCCCCTGGAAACGGAAAGACGCTTCTCGCGCGTGCCGTGGCTACTCAGTGCAACGCCACCTTTTTCTCGATATCGGCGGCTAGTCTGACTTCCAAGTACGTGGGTGAGGGCGAGAAACTCGTTCGGGCCCTTTTCGCGATCGCTCGGGAGCTCCAGCCCTCCGTTATTTTTATTGACGAAGTCGATTCGTTACTTAGCGAGCGCAAGGACAACGAACACGAGGCTTCCAGGTACTCCTATACATTTTACATGTATACTTTTATATTTGTTCATACGTTTTAAAAAAGTGTTGGCGATTTATTTTACGTCTCGATTCAACTCAAATCCGAGTATATTCGACCTTAAGATTTCAAAATTGTAATTTAAATGCGTGCTTAAAGAACCTTGGTTTATTTTCAGACGGTTAAAAACCGAGTTTTTAGTAGAATTCGATGGTCTTCCATGTAACCCTGAAGAAAGAATACTGGTGATGGCTGCAACGAACAGGCCGCAGGAACTGGATGAGGCAGCGCTCAGGCGTTTTTCTAAAAGAGTCTATGTTACACTGCCCGACTGTCAGACAAGAATCATGTTGTTGAAACGATTGCTGGCCAAACACAACGATCCTTTGACAAATGATGAGCTCAATCAGATGTCCATCTTAACAGAGGGATATTCAGGAAGTGATCTGACGGGTTTGGCCAAGGATGCGGCTCTCGGTCCAATCAGAGGTAATAATCCGATACGTAAACCGTTATAAATTTTGTTCGCCAAAATTGACAATCAAGTACTTCCTACTTTTTGACATTTTTTGTTTAATAAGTAATTTTTTTCTTGTAGAGCTTAATATGGAGCAAGTGAAAGATTTGTCATTAAATTCGGTCCGCAATATCACGTATCAAGATTTCATAGATTCCCTGAAAAAGGTTCGCAAATCTGTATCTCCTGGGAGTCTTGCAGCTTACGAAAAATGGAGTCTTGAGTATGGTGATGTGAGTCTTTGATGAAACTGCTCAATCGATAAAATATAATTTTAGCACAGAGTGCACAATTCTCAAAAGGCTCAAAATATAGTTTAGACGATTTTTATTATTTTAATAGTTATATTTTTCCTTATCGAATTTTTAATTATTGAAATTGTGTCTTGAATTTTTTTTTTATGCACTTTGAATCAATGGGGTACAAGATTTGAAAATGTAATGTTGCACGTCCATTTGAGATAATAAAATCATAAAGTATGAACAGAGGCTTGTAGACAAGCAGTATGTTTTCTCGAGATTGTCAGAAAGCTTTTGACAAATATATATTTGATAGGACGTATAGAAAAGTTAACGTTATCTTTTTCACAGGCAACGTACGAATTTAAAAATCATATAAATCTGTAGAACGGTATTAATTAAAATTATTAAAAAAACAAAAAAAATTGCGGTATCACATTTGATGCATGGTTCTATGAACACAACGAAGTGAATAAGATAGATCACGATTAATAGTTGATTAAAAAAAAATATTTTCTGGGCGCAATCTTGCATGGTATTTTTATTTTGTATATACAATATATTATGAATACGTAAAGTTGTTATAATGATGAAAAGTGACGCCGAAACTGAAATGTCAGTACCAGAATATTTTGATTCTGTACAATTTCATTAGAGTTGATAACACGTGTACTTAATTCAGCATCCTATCAGAGGGTGTAGTTTTTATAATTCTTATCGCAATAACTAGTCTTTGAATAATTATTGTTTGATGAACAATTAGTACTAGTTATTTTTCCCTACTCCAAGGTATACAGACTAACACTTACTTATTATTGCTGTGCTTTTTTTTAAATAGCTCATTATAATACATGAATCAATCTTAAAAATCAAAGAACAAAGATTGTTCAACATTTTATTAATTAGAAAATTTTTTTCCCAGTACGTATTGTCACTAAATTATTGCGATAACCTGCAAATATTTAATTCAAAAATATAAATAATTAAAATAGCGTATTTTGGAGTAAGGAAGGTTCAATAATAAACATAAAGTCATAAAATATTTTGAATCCTACATTCCGAATCGTTAGTTATCGTTAAAGTTATTTATCAAATAATGTTACATTGTTAGTATTTATTAATTTATTTGTACAGGTTAGAGATTCAGCTTTATTAGATTGCGTATATGTTTTTTGCCAAATCAAGGTGCAAACTTTCAAGTTGCCATAATCATAAATCATAAGAAACAAAAAGCATAGATATATAAACAGGTACATTATCTTGATACAAAACATTATCCACTGTATAGCCTCGTTTTTCGTTAAATGAAATATATTACTTCATTTATGTATCCTACTTAAAAAAAATTTACAGTATCTACATATAGTTTGTAAGTATTGTGATGTATGTTTTGCGCATGTGATAAGAAAGTGATAGTTTTACACTCTGATGTCACTTAATACTTGATTAATGTAATAAGTCATCGAGAAGTCGTCTGTTTGATGTTGAGAAAATACCTTCAAAAAAAATTTCGTGCTTTATTTAAAAATTTTTGTAAATTGTTAATTGAAGTTTGAGAAGAAAACGAACAAAAATATGCGAAATCAAAAAAAAAAAAAAAAAAAAGAAACGATCAAGTACAAAAATAAGAAAAGAAAAAGAAGTTGTATTAATATGCATCTGAATAATAATTTTCATGTTTGATCTATAGAGCGATAAAAAATGTTGACTCTGATTTATTTAAGGCTGCGAATCTTTGTCGTGACTGTATGTAATCTTTGTTTTTAAGTTTTTTGTACACATTTTGCAAAAAAGTTCATTAATATAAACATGCTTTCGAAAAATGCTTATGGTTTCAGCTTTTCCTCAATTTCACCAATCTATAGTAAGTGAACTCCTGACAAACACGTTGTTGAGAGGAGTGACCGTATGGTCCGAGATATTCTATTATGGCATAAAATTGAAACTTTGACATGATACAAAATATAAAAGTTCCATAAAAGATGACATTCACATTGACTTATGCGGGCTTCAAAGAAATGTATAAAATCACAGAAGAATCTCTCCATACCAACTTTTTTATACATTTGTACCTGTATCAACTAGTGTACATATTGTCATGATGCAAACGTATGATTTTTAATCCCCTTAAACATGGCACTTCTCATAACACTTGGCACACTTGGGTTTTATAATATATGTAGAAAATTAAATGTATGTCCATTCTGTTAAAGGTAAAATAGTCACACTTTGAACCTTTTTACGTACTTATGTCTGAGAATTGAGTTTTTCATACATTCTTAAAAAAAAAAGGTAAGGTGGCGAGAAAACAGTATTTCTAATATTTTGCTAAAGTAGTAATTATAATAATGATAATATTAAAAATAATAATTGTGATAATCCATATTCGCGGTTTAAAAAATAATAGTAACGAAAAAAAACATGTGCAGAAATCGTATCAAGTTCCACTAGGTTCTTGCGCAGGCAAAACGTTAGGCTCGCTCGAATTTTTTTTTTTAATTTTTTATTCAGTATGAATTATACATTGTAATTATCTTAAGTTGGAGTAATACGTAAAAAATTGAGCTTAACTTTTTTTTTTAACTTTGCAGTACAAAGCTGAAAAAAATAAGAACATTTCAACGTATTCAGGCATACTAAAAACACAAGACTATTTTTAAATTGGAATATCTTGTAAACTACGCGCAGCGTTTTTATTTTTTTATCCTTAAAATGCTTAGATATTTCTAATACATTATTTTTGTAAAACAGCCGTAAGAACGTTTTAGCAGTTATTAATGTGGTAACGGATATTCTAAATGTAATCTCGTATTTTTCGCGATTTTTCGTAACTTAAAAGTTTGACAAAAAATCGTACATTCCTTGTTGCCACCACTTTTCATTGTGATCGTAATGGGACTCGTCGTTACTGTTTACGGTGTATATGTCCTTTGTCACTTACATAGTCAATATCGGCAAGCGAAACGCAGCACTCTGGTTTGATTTTGCAAAGGCAGAGAAATTCAAGGACCACACGAGGACACCGATGCTGCTTATAGTCAAGCAACTGGAAGATTTGGCGAAACATCATCTTGAAAATCTTTAAGTAAGTTGTGTTCATGTAGAGGTGATGAGCATTTTTTCACTCAGCTGTACGCCAATTTTCTACAAGCAAACGGATGTGAGCACCAGCAAGAATAGCCGCAGGTCTGATTGTCTTAATTTGGTGAGAAGAGGTCGAAGGACAATCAAGTCGTGGAATCGGGACGAGGTAGGTACCAAAAATATTTTACAAAACGCAATTTTGGCCTACGGCCTGCCCGAAAGACCGCGCGACTTGCTTCATCTGGAAAACTTTTTGGATCAATATGGATAAGACGAATGAGTTTTTTTTGACTATTGAACTTTTTTCCTTGTTTTTGATAAAATATTTGAACCTTTTTTTATTATTATTTTTTTTTAATATTGTAGATATACGGGCAGAGTTGAGTAAAAAGTATACAATCATCGTATAGTTGTTTTCATTAGTCTACGTTAATGTAAGTATCAAGTTTATTCTTTTTATAAAATTTACATGAACTGTAATTGGGAGTGATAATTAATAACATATCCAACTATTTTCAGGCCGAAAAAAATCACATCCAAGATTCAATATTCGAAAGGACGTAATACTGTTCTCAGTAAGAATTCTGGCTTTGGCTGGAGTATTAAACGCACAGCATAAGTCCCGCAAGATTAGCCCCCCGAGGCGATACCGTATTTGGACACAAGAATGACACATGGAAAATTATTTTAAATATTTATTCCTCTTCTCATTCGAAGGACAATTTATTTTTTATACCAATAACATTATCCTAAGCATTGTCAAGGGCAGATTTTACCCTACCGTACCTAAATTAATCTTTATATAACATTTTTCACTTCCATCACTTTTACTGATTCATATTTTATTCAAGTGCTCACTTTTAAGAGTAAATTGCTTCAGACAATTAGTATTTCACTTGACATACCTTGCTCTCTGAGTGATAATTATACAAATTTTAATTTTAATTTTATTGTCACTAAATTATTGCGATAACCTGCAAATATTTAATTCAAAAATATAAATAATTAAAATAGCGTATTTTGGAGTAAGGAAGGTTCAATAATAAACATAAAGTCATAAAATATTTTGAATCCTACATTCCGAATCGTTAGTTATCGTTAAAGTTATTTATCAAATAATGTTACATTGTTAGTATTTATTAATTTATTTGTACAGGTTAGAGATTCAGCTTTATTAGATTGCGTATATGTTTTTTGCCAAATCAAGGTGCAAACTTTCAAGTTGCCATAATCATAAATCATAAGAAACAAAAAGCATAGATATATAAACAGGTACATTATCTTGATACAAAACATTATCCACTGTATAGCCTCGTTTTTCGTTAAATGAAATATATTACTTCATTTATGTATCCTACTTAAAAAAAATTTACAGTATCTACATATAGTTTGTAAGTATTGTGATGTATGTTTTGCGCATGTGATAAGAAAGTGATAGTTTTACACTCTGATGTCACTTAATACTTGATTAATGTAATAAGTCATCGAGAAGTCGTCTGTTTGATGTTGAGAAAATACCTTCAAAAAAAATTTCGTGCTTTATTTAAAAATTTTTGTAAATTGTTAATTGAAGTTTGAGAAGAAAACGAANTTTTCATAAGAACCATTAAAATTAATTACTTTGTCGCCAGTGGCTCAAATAAAAAATTTATCTGAATTAAATCTCAGCGTATTTTTGCATTTTTTTTATAGAGTGATCAAGACTGATAGAAATAAATTCAAGGCTTTAAATTCCAATGTAATGTATGAAACGGTTTCATGCGTAATATTTTGAGGAAGACTCGATAAAAATTTTTTTCTGCATAACTGATTATTAAACTTCAGTTAAATATGAAAAGTTTTCATACATTATATCTAAATATCATCGTTAATCAAAACAATTTAGTTAATATACGTTAAAATAATGTACTCTTGATTTTTCCGTAATAATTAACGAATTGAAAAAATTTTCAGACTATGTTAGACATCCTATAGAAGTCTTTACCATAAAAGTTTCTTAAACATATTTCTGTTATATTTTTTAAATAAAAATCGTTTAAGGTCGTAGTCGTTTAGCCACTGACGATGAACAGCTCGCAAAGCAAAGTAAATAACGACGCGCAAATAGATCAACTAATCCTTGCGCCTGTGGAGGGCCCTGCATACGTGTTTGACAGCGTTTGTACCAAAAAATTCTAGCTACATCACAAACAATGCCTTTCGCTTTCTGGTTAGCGTTTCATTTTTCTATTTTACGCCTATGTATCGATATTCCATCACACTAATCACGTATCCATTCAAACACTATAAAAGTTAAAATATCGCCTGATAGACAACAAGACTGAACTAAGAAAAAATGACTCTTTAAAAAAAAAAGGTCTTATGAATCAGGGACAAAAGAAAACAGGGCAAACAAAAAAAATAGGAGAAGTAATTAAAAAATTCAACAATCTCAATATAATCTTATCATACATACGGTTTAGTGCACAACGGATGCAGGGCTCTTATGATTTCAAAGATAGATGAGAATATATACCACTTTAACGTGTTTCTTTTAAAATGTTTTTTTCATTGTTTTTTTTTTTTTTGTATTTTTGCTACCTTTCAGTGAAGCAATTACTTCTAATCATCCCATCAAATATACAGTGTATATTAAAATAAAACCTTGTTATTTCCTAGAAAAATGTGTAAATTGCCTTAAAGTTGATAGGATGTACATATGTATAATTAAAGCAAGCTCCTTGCTTTTCTTAACGAATATTTTTTTTAAGTATATATATAATTGAGCGTGGTAGCAAAGTTTGCGAAACAAAATGGTATATATTAATCTACATTCGAAATAGTTCCGCGTCAAGCGTTGCGTACAGAACTTTCAACTGTCATTTTTCAAAAGGTCGACGTTTTTTTTTTTTTTGTTGAAATTTTTAAATGTTTTTTTTTTTTTTTTATGAATTGTCAAACGTTTCGTTTCACTGCGTTGGGTACTGCGGTGGCATACCGTAAGTTACCATAGGTTGTTGTCCCGGTGGCATAGGGGCAGAAGGTGTTGGAGGTGCACTGCCAGTCTGACCTGGTTGCCACGTACCAGCAGATGGTGTGGGCATTCGCATGCTATTCATGTACTGAGCTTGCTGCTGGCCATAGTACTGACCATAGTACTGAGGCTGGAGAAACTGGCCTTGCATTTGTGGGTAGCCTTGGGGATACCAATAGCTCATTTGCTGGCCATAGTTATAAGCATATTGCTGTCCTGCTGACACCTGCACAAATTAATAAATCATTTTTTTTTTTTTTTTTTTGTTATGAGAAAAGAAACTAAAAATGATTTGTAGTACTAACTTGCTGAGTTTGTTGATTGGTATTAGATCCAATACTGCTTGAATCTCCGTTTTCTTTTCCCCAGAAACACTTAACGACACATCCATTTATTTCTGTATTGTGTGTCTTTTCTATGGCATGTGTAGCTGAGTCCTTAGTTGTAAATTTGATGAAAGCATAACCCTTATCCTTAAATACTCTAATATCTAATATAGTACCAAAAGGTGCAAATGTCCTGGTTACTAGATCTTCTGTAATCCCGTTTGTGAATCCTCCAAAATAAACGGTACAATTGGTCGGGCTACTTTGGTTATAAACCTGAAAAATCAAAAATACAGTAAGATATGGAGAAACAAAATAAAGGAATTCATCTAGGCTTTGGTATTAAAATTTTTTTTAACGACTATTTTTTTCAACTTTAAAATGATTCAGCATAATTGACATCAAATATTTTCATTATATTTAAGAAAGTAAAAGATCGCTGATAGTCAACTCATAGGATCATTTAATGATGTCAATCATACACTTTATTCATAATAATTTTTTTCATTATTGATCTAATAAGTTTGACTACAATTTAATTTTTTTTTATTTTGATAGTATTATTTCAAATAATTATTCAAAATTTTTTTCAAGTTGAATTATATTTTTTTTCTGTTATCATATAATAAGCCTCTACGAGTCAACACAATCAACACATATCAATGATTGAGTAAAATTAGTAGCTAACTTGTATTTGGGGTGAAGAAACAGCAAATTCAGATTTAGGTTGAAAAAGAAGTTAATTCACAAAATTTTATTTATTAAATAAAATAATAGTACTACCGCTTCAAAATCTGAGAAGAAAGTTCTGAATTAGCTGCTTCTTCAACCACAATGAGCCGTTTCTTTTACGCAATCATCGATATA